GCACGCAGGGTGACAGCGGTGCTTGCTCAAGCAGAAAAAAACACACGGCGCTCACTCAGGAGCGGTTCCCGGTCTGCCCGAAGACTTGTGGAGATGACCAGCTCTGCAGCAAGACGTACTTTGAGGCTGGAGTGCTGTTTGTACGGGACCTACCCAGCAGCCTCGCGAACATGTGAGTTCATTGAGGGTGCTGTTTGTGCTGCCGGAGTTCTGCAGTTTTCTGGTTGTCCTTGCCTTCATTTCTAGGAAGAATGTTGCTTGACCGTCGCAGCGTTTGCAGCAACGGGGCAGCTGAGTCTCATGGAGAGGGTGCTGGTTGTGCTGAAACGAAGCCAAAACCGTGGGACATTTCAACAGATTCTTCAGTCTCCACAGTCTCCCAAAGCGTCCTACTCCAGAAACTTGGCCAGGACATCGTGCAGCCGCCTGGCCAAATGCTCCAGGCATCCTGTCGAAAATCCGCTCTTCACAGCCCGAGGCGCTTCGTGGAGGAGTGCTACCCCGGACCGTGCCCTGACCCTTGGTGCGACAGCACTGCCAAGCAGCCTCTGGGACTTGTGAGACGAGACGTCGAGACGATTTGAGATGGTGAGGCGCATGCGAAATATAGGCGTCAAAGCGAAGCAGCTCGGCATGGCCACGTGACAAAACTGAGGTGTGCTGGTGCTTCCGGGACCTTCTGCGTCCCTCGGGAGTTCGACTGTCCTGAAGTATGTCGGGGACAAGAATGTCTTGTTGCGCCTGGGTGAAGATTCACCGAGGCAGTGCCTGCGTCTGCTTGTGGCTTTTTCACTGCCACGCCTCAGCGAAGCCTGAAGCGCAAGTAAGGACAACTTCGATGAGCAAGGACGATGGCAGAACTCTTCCACTACGTGACACCCAGCTGGAAAAGCTACGGCAGCCCCATTGTCTCAAGCCGTTGCACGCAGTGCACTGTCACGTCCTAGCTGCGCCGCTGTTTTTCCTTTGCCTCCAACATCTCCTCTTGAGGCATTCCTGATGGAGCAGATTGCCCTTGCGGAGAGAATGCTCTTCGCTGCCGCGGCCAGCGTGAGGACTTCTGCGCGGCGGCACTTTGGCAACAGTTGGAAGCCTTCCTGGGCTCGGGCTCAGTGCGAGATCTGCGCTGACGCTGAGGCGAGCGAAGGCTGTCCTGAGACCTGCGACCTGGCAACGCACCGCTGGTGCTACGACCTGTCCTTCACAGCTGATGGCCGGCCCACCCAGCTTGTCCATAGCTTGTGCAGAATTCGTCAAAGTTCTGCAAGTTCCGCGAAGCCGCGGAACGACCCCGTCTCAGTCTCATGAGGCAGGCGCGACCCAAGCACACTGATGGTGACGAGTTGCGTTGCCAAGTCGCAGCCGGCACCTCACGGCTTGGCACGTGTGTCACATGCTTTGCTTGCCATGGGCGTGGCTCCAAGGCCGTGCAGCTGTGGGGAGCATGCGATGCCATGCAACTGGACGGCGACTTCTCAGAAATTCCCGGAAAGTACTGCGTTGAGCCTGCATGCTTCAGTGAGCTCAGGATGCACGGGGGTGTGGAGCTCAGCCGTTCAGTCGTTGCTCGCATTCGCACCTATTGCGATGCTGCTGCAGCTGCAACCAGCCGTCACGAGGCGCCAGAGGGAAGAGTGCTTGCCAGCAGCTGATTCATGTCCCGAAGTCTGTGTGGGCAAGACCTGCATCATTGTCGCGCCTTGGATGAGAAGTTGTACCAAGCTCATGCAAGCCACAAGGTAGGGAAGTGGGGAGTTGGGAAGCCGTCGAATCCGCTGAGGACTACAGTGTCTCCGGTGAGATTCAGGGGATTCGCGAGGAGTGCCTTAACGCCGACGTGGCCTGCCCTTGTGGGCAGAACGCCATGACGTGTGGTGCGGGTCAGGAGCTCCGGGTTGCTGTAAGCAGCCAACTTGAGATTCAAACTTGGTGATTCACTGGATTCGGAGCCTCTGATTGGTGAGTGCCCTTGCGCCCTTTGATGCCAGTTCTCTCTTAAAGGGCTCCGTGAAGGCGAAGTTTCCAGTTTCCGAAGACAGGGGCCACGTAGCTGTGTTTTGTGAGATCTGCGCAGGAATCCTACTGCCTTCCACGAGGCTTTGTTGCAGGAAGGGCTGTGAATGTGGCTTGCACACGGCGATTTGTTGCGGGGTTTCTATCTGCGACACAATGAGGTCTCGGGCTCAGCCGTTGTCCCCTGCTCTGTCCGGACGGCGAAGAGCCCTGCTACCGACCGAGCAACTGGGACGAAGGGGGAGACTTGATTTCAGTGTGCCGTGGGATCGAAGAAGTGTCGGGGAGGAGATTCCTACAATTCTACGGCACTCTCCTTGCTTCTAGGATGCCCTGTTCTTGCACCGTGCGTCAAGGTCCTGTACGGGTCGGCTGACTGAGGAAGTTAACCAGTATAGGGGCGAGTACAAGGCCCAAGAGTTGGCTTTTACCCGTCCGGCCTGACAGCACCGAGGTTTTGATGCTCAGGGCAATCGTCTGCCCACAGACGAGACTTGTGAGCCCTGGCAGAAGGAGTCCTTGCAGATTAATGCTTGCTTGCGAAGCTTGGAACCTCTCTGCCGCCCACCTCGCCAACCACAACCCTGCAACATCGGGGCTGCTGAGTCGTCAGGTGCCAATCGGGACCGGGTGCGGCTGCGGACAGGGCTCCTTCCTGTGCAGCACTGTGCCCCGACTGCACCATGAGCTTCTACGTGCCGCATCCTCAAATGAGCTCCGACTTTCGTGTCAGGGCAGGGGCGAACCAGAATGTCTACCAGTGGGAGGTCGGCGGCCGCCACATGCCACGTGATGCCACGTGGTACATCCTTGTATCAGTTCGCGTAAGAAATGCTTGTGCTGCTGGTGTGCGCAGGATACTGTCCCCCCTGCGCACCTGGCGAAATCGAGTGCCCGCTAGTGCAAAACTTCTTCCCGGATGGCATGGAAGACAGCTCCTTGGCACGAACTCAGAGGGGCCCTGGGATCTTTGTGCTTTCTGCGTGGAGGCACTTGGCAGGAGCTTGCCGACAGCATGTCATCCTACTGCGAACTACGTTTGGAGATCTCAGGCATGGTGCCTCCCAGCAGGCAGTGTGCCAGAAGCCTGGTCGACTGCCCGTGTGGGCGCGGCGCAAAAACGTGTGCAGCCCTCAATCGCTGCATCTTCAAGGCATAGGGAGGGCGGGGAAGTGGGCTGGGGTAACTGTTCTAACTTAGTTCTAGCTTTCCCACATTCAAAGCCCCCACCAGCTGGAGGAATTGCTCTTTTATGGGTCTTGCAGCGCTCTTGCCGCGATCGATATCATAAAACGACGGTTCTCTCACTTGAAGCATTATCACAATGTGCCAAGATATCACAGGGCGCGGCCTGCTGCGCAATTGATGAGAAGACCTGTGTCGTCGTGGACTACACTCCTGATGGGAACATCACAGGCAGGTGCCCGAAGACGAGCGCAAGTGGCCGGCAATGTGTGGCGAGACCCTTGGCAGGCTCTCGAGAGATCTGCTGGGCATCGACCGCACCGTGTCCCTGTGGCGCAAACACACAGCGCTGCCCCGGAGCAGACCTTTGCCTCCCTGCGTCACGAAGCTGCCTGAAAAGCTACGGATCAAACAGGGCTTAGCTGCGTCTTGATTGATTCCTTTTGCGGGTGCGGTCATGTTCATCCGCCTCTAACTTCCTGATTTGGCACCAAAGTGGCACGGAAGGCTGTAGGATGAGGCGTTCAGGCGGTGTACATGTGATGCATGCGCTCCATCCAGAGCCACTCCAGTTTCGGTGGCGACATGTTGTGACAGTGTCCGTCAGGTTGCAGAAGGCTGACGTGTGCCCCTGCGAGCATTGGCAGCTCCATGGCAAGACGTGCCGCATGCCGCAGTGATGCATTGTTTCCTCCAGCTTTCTCTTAGGCAGAAAGCCTGCGAGATCACGGAGTACAGCACGGCAGGCCAGGTAAGGTCTCCTCATTTGCATCTTCCGGGCGTCAGCCTGACACTCCTTCCGTGCTTCCACGCAGGCGTGCCAGAGATGACTTGGAAGCTTTGCGTGGACAGGGAAGCGCCTTGCCCGTGCGGCCAGAATTCGCCGACGGCCCAGACGACCCGCTTTCGGAATGCCTTCTTGTCCCCACAATAGCAACTTAGGCTGCGCTGCCCAGACCCACTGGACCTGGGCTTAGTGCTGGCTTGAAGGTTTTCAGCTTGCATTTGACACTCTTTCAGCAGCTGTCTTGTGGTCACTGTTTCCAAGGATGCGAATGGCACGCTGTGCGTGGCAAAGGTCATCAGTCGCTTGGCTGACTTGCTGGTGCTGTCGTTGAACTCGCTGGGCTCCATCAACACACCCAGCCCATTCCAAGAATCCATGCAGCTTGAATCTGAGCCGAGCCGCTTGAACAGAATCGCGTTGCAGCTGTGACTCGACTAGGCAACGACATTACTGAAGTGTTGTGTAAACATGAACACTGAACTTATAGCACCAGTGAAATGCACAAGCTCCGACCTGCCTCGAACTCGTTCACCTACGAGTCGTTCGGAAGCGCTCAGGTGGCGTTGCAAACTCATGTCCTGCGCCATGCTCCCAAGAAGAGTTGGCTCGAGGCAGCCAGACCTGCGTGCAGCTTCCTGGCTGCAGCAACATCAGATGCGCTTCAAACAGGCTGATTCCCCCAGAACAGAATATCCGGTCCGAGACGATCTCTAGTTTTTGGATTAAGGCTTCTGTTCAGCTCTTCTGAGTCGCTATGTGTGCTGAGGATTGACCTCCCCTCTGAGACGCTGCAAATCCAAAGAACGAGCACCTCGTCTGAAAATATTTGACTGACTTGGCGCTTTAAACATTGCTTCGCATGCGATAGTGATGGATCAAGCATTCAATTCCAGTGCCCATTTCTTGAAGGCTTCTGCTGAGCGCCACGTCCGCCACACTCCTGGATCTGAGACTCCGGTGCTTTCAAAGCTGGTCAGGTTGCGTGCCGTTCGGCCGTTGCTACGCCGGCTTTGGCATGAAGAGCTGCCAGGGGCCTGGTGCATTGCGCACATGAAGCTGCCAGGAATCAGACTACAGTTACAGTATCCTTCCTTTGCAGGTCCCTTTGGTGCCGCTATACCTGCCTGGCAGCCCTGTGAGCTGGGCCGTGCCTCCAGAGGCAACACCAGCATTCAGGTGCTGGAGGTTGCAACGGCGAGCCTTGCCACGCAGGAAGGGCAGGGGAGACTTCTTCGTGAAATTGGCTGGGGAGTGGGAGGGAAGAAGCTCGGGCCATGACAGCAACTCAGGATCATACCGATGGACCGGCCAGGCCCTTAGTGTGTAGTGTGTGAGCAAGTATCTGTTCTACGATTCTACGAGGCAGTGGAGTGGGGCTGAGGTTGCAGCCGGGCGCGATGGAGTCTTTAGCCGCGGTGGGACTTGAACTCCGATTCCTCCTGGAAATCCCACAAGAGCGCCTTCGGCGGCGTTTAGATCACAAAATCTTGCGGTGTGCTCTTTGGTCTTGTTCACTCCCTGAATGTTGTTCTAGAATGCATGAGACCACAGCCCATGGCCAGACGTGGGTCATACTAGGATGTGGGATGTGCGCACAAGCTTCATCCAAATCCTGCTGGTTATGGGTCTGCAGGTTATCTGGCCTTTGAAAGGGGGGGGGGTGTTCCCGTCTGAGGATGACAACGGACATCAGTTTGTCACTGTCACGCAAGATCCTTTCGCTACCTGGCCGTGTGATGAATCTCGCAGCGTTCGCGTTCGCAGTCCGCCTAAGTACTAAGGTTTGCAGTCACAGGCCCGGCTCGGTCAGGACTGGCGGGGCCAAGCAGAGAGGGCTCACAGCTTCTGCTTCTGCCCGAGCATGGCCAGGACCGCTCGGCAGCGCTGAGAGGCGTTTACTGGGCAATGCGGGCAGCCTGCTTGCAGCAGAATCTGCTCTTCTCCGCTCGATGACATGGCACTTGTGTTTCGCATGGATGTCGCAGCACACTCTGCCATGCGCCCGTCTAGGCAGTTGGGAGGATCCCAGTGACCTTATCTTGCGCTTGAGGGACAAGGTCCAGGGAAGTGGACGGCTGTCTGCGAGTCATTCTCCGGACAAGCCGACCTGGTGTGACAGGCATATCGAAGAAGCCCGTCGTTGCGGCGAGTCCTGGACCCCGTCGGTGAACCTCACGCATGCTCCTCAGGAAATCCCCAGTCTCTGAGCAGAGAGCTGTAAGCTGCAGCTTGCATCTCTTGAGGCCGTTGCCAGCATTAGCATTGACACCCAACACATCACGCCGATTGTCATCATTGAGAAGGTGACGGGGCCCAGGGTGGCGCACTCATGACGATGGCTCTTACTACGGGTTACAAAAGCTCCAAAAGTTGCCAGGAAGCTGACGGAGTTTGGGACGTCCAGCAGAAGCCAAGAATCAGCATAATGCGCCCTGTTTCCTGGCAGGAAGTGGACGACGAGGAGGCCAATCTGCCAATCTGTTGCCTTTCTGCGGTCCTTGCACCGAGGATTCTGATTTCTTTTCAAGGTGTTTGTTTGGCATAGTAATAGATGGTTGGGGCGAAGTGTCGTTGAGTCTGTCAGCGCGAGATGCACTGCAAAAACGCATGCAGACATTTCGGCCTTCCAGTCTGCCAGCGAAAGCAAGGGTAGCGAGAATAGCCTTATGTCTCGCCTGATGTCTTGAGCTGGGCGACTTTCGTTTCACGACTTCGTAAACTGTGCAAGTCCGCTGCGAGGCAGATGTCGTTGTCGTTGTGGTCATAACCTCGCTGCCACTCAGCTGCAGGGCAGGAAGGCATTGGCCGGGCTATTCCAAAGGTGCTGGGAATCATCGCGAATGGTTGCAAATGGTTGTCAAGGCATGCGCTTCATGTTCCAGCAAACTCCAGGTCCACTTGCATCCTGGCTTTCTGTTGCTTCTCGGTTTGGCGCTTGCACAAGCGGCGCAAGCAGCGCATCGTGCTGCTCTCAGCTTGATCTCCACGGTATCATCTTCATTGAGGTCTCAGAGTTCGTTTCTTCAGGTACCTGAATTCGAGGACGCAAACGCCCAGGAACTGCCAGCCACGTTTGGGTCCAGGAATCTGGATTATGTTTGTGCAGTAAAGCGTTCGATCGGCCTGGTGTCTTTCTGCATGCATGAGCTGCGGTTTTCCGTTTCGCTACCCCGATCTAGCAAACCCGCTCAACGAACCGCAGGCCAGCCCAACAAGAGCGGACTCGTGCCAGGCGAGCAACATTCCAGACGGCTCCAGCTCTCGGCTGGCTATGATTTCCGCTAGATTCGATGGCGGGCCGGTGGAGAAGCTGATGCGAAGAATGCAGAGGATTCTGGATGCCCGCAACTACCATGTGCTTATCGTTGAGGCTGGAGCTGGTGATGATTTTGGTGATGCCACTTTGGAGTATTTGTATCAGATAAAACGGGAGAACGGCGTCATCCTGGCCGTGTGTACATGGAACTATGCCGAAATGACGGCATCACAGTACTCGTCACACAAGGAGCTGCAGTTCGCACTGGAGAACAGCATTGAAGTCATCCCATTGAGGGTGGAAGACACCTACCCTCCAAAGCCACCCTTTGGTGACCATCATCCTCACGATCAACATGGATTGGGCCAGGCCCTAGTTCAGATGAAGATCCCTCCTACGCTTGTCTTTTTAGAATGCAGAGGGCGGACTGCGCTACAGATCGCCAGTGATATCGCTGGGAGATTGAGCAGCGAGAAGGCGGGGCTCAGGGCGAGGCACATGCGAAGCCCTTCACATGTTCGCTCCAGGAGTTCGTGCCAGAGGGGCTCATGGTGTGGTTGCCTGTTTCTAAGTAAGCTCTGTGTCACAGGCCCTGGCCAAGATGCCGTCCTCGCGATCGTTGGCATCGAACCAGCTCCGATCACCACAGGCCGGAGCTTTAAAGCCTTCAGCCAGAAGCTTTCACCCGCTCGCAATCGCAGCCGCTTTTTGCGTGCACCGGAGCATCACTGCGATGTGCTTCATTGATTGTCGAAAATTGTATTGTTCTCTTGAAGGCTCAGAGGACACATAGGTTTCAGGTTTGGGGGTGAGGAGGCCAGTCACTCGTCATTTTTTGAATCTTTCTGCAAAAAGCCAATCAAAGCAAAAACGTGGGATGGTCCGGTGAGCTTGCCTGGGCCACGTGTTGCATTGGTGACATTCTCGTATGGACTTCAAGTGCAGGCTGGACCGTCCCGTCGTTCTCTTCTTTTGCGCATGGCCGCAACCGATTGCAGCAAAGCCTTGAGCTTGGCCAGCACACAGGTGCTCAACTCAACATCTTTGACTGCGACGACATCCCGCAATCTATGTCACTAATGCTTGGATAACACTGTGTGCAGGTGCATAACGCATGCCGTTTCAGCAGAAAACAAGAACATTGAGTGATCTTGAGCTGCGCGCTCTGCTCGCGGTGCCATGGCTAGCTTTGGCTGGCCTGCTGTGGAATTTGCTTGGTCTTCAACAGCTCTGTTCGCGTGACCAAGCCCGCATCACGTGTATGGAGGCGGAGGCGGCTTGAGCTTTTGATCTTGCCGTCGTGTTGACGGCTGCACAGTGCTATGGCGATTTCAAGAGATAGCATACGCCGAAGCAAGGATAGCGAGACCAATAGTTGCGCACTTTAGGCGTACTAGCAGCTACGCGCAATCAGACGTAAATTATGCTTCGTGCGTTCACTGGTGACCTGATGACCTGATCCCGCACGGCCCGCTGTGCATGCTGCTGCACTACCTTGCGATCGTCGTAGTTGAGGTGGCTGCACATCTGCGTGCGCGTGCCAGCAAGGGAGATCAAGGGAGTTCACTGCCCGGCGGAACCACGCAACTTGGTGAGGGTCTTGATGCGTTCCTGAATTCCTGTCGCCGAGGATGTGTCTTGGGGCCCGGCCTTCAAACGCAGGTGCTCTCGTCGTGTGACATGAACGGATTTGAGATGCACTTCCACTTTTCCAAGTATTCCAGGAGCTTTGTTCAGCTTGTGTGTTCGGGCATCTGCCTCAGCTCCCAAGTGGCCGTATCCAGGAAGCCTTGCAGCTCCGAGTTGCCCAGCTTCACCACAGCATCCAACGGACCATGTGAGTGGCCTGTGTCTGCATAGCAAAGAAGAGCGGGCTGAAACGCCTGAGTGGCCACAAACTTTGTTGCTCATGATAAAATGAAGCTGATATTACTCGCGGGATGTGTTATCTTGAATGACAACAGATGCCTGAGGCAGTGCTCTGTACTACACTACTACACAAAACAGATTTCAATGATGGGGTCCATGTGTTGCACATTGCTGCTGCTGCTGTCTTTTTTGACATCAGCATCCGTGCCAGCAAGATGGAGCGTTGCGAGCCCATATGTTCTGGGAATGCAGCGCAGGGCATATAGGTTTGTCGAATGAGTGTGTGTGGAGTAGCACCTTGGCTTTGGCTTGGTCCATTCTATCCACTCACCGAGCGAGAACACCCAGTCTATGTCGTAGCATGGGCCATTTCTTCTGCAGAGTGTGTGGCCAGCCAACACGTCCGAGACAGAGTCGCGAAGCTGCGGTCCACCTGTCTGTCCAGCCATTGCAGCGAGTGGTGTGAGTACTTTCCAAGACCGCCTGGCGTGCCTCTTGGAACAAAGGCCTGCATGGACTGCAAACGTCGCAGTCGGCCTGCAGCTTGCCTGGCTGACAGTGGCAACACAGACGGAATGCATAATGCATCTGCAGTAGCCACATGACATCGGTGTAACGTCCCCTGAGCGAGCACACGTTTCCATAACTCCGGGGCTCAAGCAGCAGCAGCTGAAACTATAGCTTGCTAGATCTTGCTAGCACTCTCTGCCTTTTCGAAGCTGTGGGGGCCAGCCCCCAGCAGCACGGAGCCGATAGTGGTAGCGAGGAAACATCAGCAGAAGAAGGGCAACGCTCATTGTTGTGACGGCCCTGATGAGCCCTGACAATGGAATACCGGATCAGTTCGAATTCACTTGCAATAGAAGACCTACGCTGACGTGGGGACCGCTGCACCCACGACTTGACGTCCCTTTACTGGCCTATTTGGGAGTGCGTCCTCGGCCGCGTAGGCCACACCTGTTGGCTCAAACGGCTTATCTATTTAGCTGAGTCGTGCCCGCCAAGTAGCCGGCTAGCACGGCGCCTCCGGGACTCCGGGACCAGTCGACAGATCGGCCGGCATCCCTTGAGTTCCGAGCTTCTGCGCGATCATCCTCTATACACAGTAGGTAGATCCGTGGTGTTGTTCTTGCTCACTTGGGAGACTGGAAGT